GCGGGAGACTGCAGGGAGGATTCTGCATGGATTGGCTAGAATGTGGTCCCCCTGGCACTGCCCGCTCTGCTGCCGCTGCCCACCTCTGGTTCTGAGCTCATGCTGGCCCTGTCCGTCCCTGTGTTGACCCTGTCACCCTGCATACTGACCTGGGCCCAGCCAGGCTGCCCATCTGACCCTGGTGTGCTTCCATTTCAGGGAGGACTCTGCCACCATGGGAGCCTCTGGGAGGCGGGACGGCCCCTCCAGGGCGATGCTGACCATCAGCTGGCTCCTCCTGGCCAGCTTCCACAGGGCCCCATGCACAGGTGAGGAGCTCCCACAGCTTGTGAAACCTCGCAGCTCAGCTTGGAAGGGCATAGCCCTCAGGTGGGACAGGGCTTCAGGGGCCTTGGGGAGGAACCCTGGGGTCAGGGCCAGGCTTGACTCTTCCTGCCTGATGCCACGGTCCCAGGAACAGCCACGCTGTGCTTCAGTGTCATCACCCACAAAATGATGGGGCGCACTAAAAACAGGACCCAGGCATGTGGCTTAAGTGAATGAGGCCAGCCAAATGGGGACCATGGGTCGGTCCCCGTTGTCTCTGGAGGGAGGCACACCCTCCAGCAGGACCTTGTGGGAAGGTAGCTCTGTGCTTCGGCCTCTTCTGCCTTTGAAGAATGAAAAATCTATACTGTTCCGTAAAATGTCCTTGTTTTCTAAACGCTAGGGACAAATTCAAATGTTGAAGAGCATGCTGGAAGGGGGCCAGAGGAAAACGCCCCGCAGACCTGCCAACCTGCTTTTGAGCTTACCTCTGAATGCCTGATTTCACCAACCCCGCCCCTCCTTGGTCCCTCTCACCACCACTGGGTGGATCCCGACTCACAGTGACCGGGAGAACAGAGTAGAACTGCTCCCTGGGGGTTCTGACGCTACACCTTTATGGCAGTACACTCACTCCGGTTTCTCCCTCAGAGCAGCCTGGGTTTGAACCACTGACCTTTCGGTTAGCACTCCAGAGCTAATTGTGCAGCTGCACCAGGGCTCTTGGCCATAGCCTGAGTCCATTAACACACGGGGGTGATGTCCGTTTTTCCCATCTCCGTGGCTCCGACTTTTTCTTTGAGCTATTTGAATAAGCATCCCGAGTCACAAAGCGCATTTTCCTAGACCCTAGACAACAGCAATCAACTACACCGAACTTGGGGTAGAAGGTGAGAAATGGCAGGGTATGGGTTTCCAAATGTTGACTAGGAGCTTTGTAATGTCAAAGTCCCCCGAGCCATGTCAACAGCCAGCACACGCTTGATGACTGCTGACTGACAGGTGGGAGGCTCAAGTGTTGCTATCGCTGTTAATTGCTCTTTGGAAAAAAAACAAAAAAACTATCGTATTCATTGGTGTGGATGCCTTCTTATCGTAAGAAGAAAGGGCCATATGGTGTATGATACTTTGTTTTTTTCTCAGTCTACCGAGGGAAGGCATTAGCTAGCTCTAATTCTGTCCATTGAGTTCCTTCCTTGTGATTATTTGTAGAAGCTTTCTGATCCTTAGGGGACATAGAAAGCAATCGATGTTTTTCCCTTTGGATGCCATCATCGATGCGATTCCCTGAATTTATCCTTGACTCATTCATTTGACGCGCACACAAGTATCGAGTTAGGGCTGACCGCCCCCCAAGCACCCCTGGGAGGGGGGGGGCAACACAATCAGGCCCTTGCCCGGGGATTTCCTGGCACATCCTGCCCTTGGAGCACAGGCCTTTGGACAGGAGGCAGACCGCTGGCTCCCCCGCTCTGCCCTGCTCTCCGATGTATCTGATGTAGCAGGGGGTGGAGAAGCCTGTTCTTGTTGTTGGCACGCTCCCAGCAGGTCCTCTGGCCCAACCTGCCTCCTCGGTGGTGCAGCCCCTCCTGAGAGAGCACAGGTGGTTGTGATAGGAATGATTCAGCAGACCTGCGGACCCTTTGCAGCCCCTCCCTGCTGCCTACAGGCAAAAGCCCACTGTCAAATGACCTCAGCCAAGAGCCAGACAGCCAGCTCCAACAGAGGACTGTCCACCGCAGGTCAAACTCGTCACGGCTTGGTTTGAGCTGTGGCATCAGAGCCGGTGCAGCGCTAGGGCTGTGCGCCTGGTGATGGGAAGGCTGGAAGGGTCAACAGGACCCTCTCCCAAGTCAGCTGGGAAATCAGGTGCAAACACCGGGGCACTGGGAGCTGCACGACACCTCGAGGCTTGGTCTGGGGGGTGGAGTGGAGTAGTTTCTTCCCACGCGTGTGACTCCCTGCCTGCAGGCCCAGGGCTTGCCAGTTGACCACATGTGCTCCCCCACACTGGGGAAACTTGACATGCCAGCTCCAACACTAGCTGGAGGGCAGCCTGGGGCTTCTCATCTCCTCTGCTGAGAGCCAGGCGTGCACTTGACCCTGTCTGGGGACACACAGAGATGGGCCTTTGGGCCCCAGAGCCCCACCTCCATGATAACCCTTGGTTGTTGAGCTCCGAGGCAGCCCAGCCACCCATCCCGGCAGCCCCCACTGCTGCCACCCGGGGAACCTGCTCTCCCATTCACTGGAAAGGCCCGAATGAGCAGCCCTGCGGTTTAAAAAAAATCTTATTGCCACAGCTTGAGCCCCCTTGGGGTTTACAACAGCTGGAAGCGCTGCTTCAGTGAAACTCCAAGAAATGTGACGCTCTCTTCTTAATGAAAGAGACCCAGGGCCTGCATGGCGAGCAGATGGAGCGTGGCAGAGGGGTTGGGGAGGAGGAGGAGTGAGTTCACCCAGCAAACATGCAGGAAAGCAGAGAGGCCTGCCCCCGCCTGGTGCCCTGCGAGAGGGCGAGGGGGCAGGAGAGGCAGAGCAGAGTGCAGGGAGAGGTGTGGTACAGGCACTCTGGCCCCAGAGGTGACTGACAGGAATCTAGGAGCATGAGAGCCTGCCGCTGGGGCTCACTCCTGGCCCGGCGGCCCGCTCTGCTCTTCCTCCCTAAGCTGTTCTCGCCAGTACCTCCCCCTGAGTCCGCATCACATGAAGCCCTGCCCCTGCGAGGCTTCCCCTCCCATCCCTCCACCCCCACCCGGGAGTGTCCTACTTCACCGCTTTCTAGACAGGAAAACAGATCGGAGCCTGTTCTCTGAGGCACACTCTCTCTCTGGCTCTCAGTCCTCTCTTCCGCTCAGTGTCATTCCAAGTGGGCCTTCTAGTGCCTCAGCCCCTCCTCCACCTGCACCCCTGCAGGCCCTGCTGCTGGATCCCAGGCTTGTTAGCCACCTGAATGCTGGGTCCCCAGGGCTTCAGTTAGGGCCAGAGAAATCCTCCTGCCACACCCACCACAGGGGCTTCATAGACTCAGCCGGCTTGTCACCCTGATGGGGAACAGGGGCCGCTGACTCATGGGGAGCCTGGCTGTGCCAAGTATTACCTTTCCACAGGCAAAGCCTTGCAACAGCCCCCTCCCAGCCAGGCAGAAACTAGGCTCTGGTTTCCCAGGTGACAGCTCCGGTGAGAGGGAACAAGACTGTCCAAGGAGAGATGTGGGCCCATGCTTGCTTAGCTGCCCCAGCAGTCTCCACCGGAGCCTACCTTCCTGACAACAACCCCAGGGGCATGCTGTCCATCATTCTTACCAGGGACATGCCCCGTAACAGACGTCCCTGCTCCTAGGGAAGCCCAAAGCACGATGGTCCTGTGAGGCACTGATGGTTCCTGTCTTGCTCCCCTCCGCTTAGAGATCGCTTCCCAGTTCCTTGGCGTCAGCAGGGTTTCTTTCCCGGGTCTCCAGGGAAACCTGCTCCAGAACATTGCTCCAAGGTCAGATTCTTGCGCAAAAGGGGAAGACGTTTTCTTCCCTCATCCAGCACTGTTCCAGAGGAGACAATGACTTGGGAGCCAAATAGTCTAAGGAGATCCTTGGGTGGTTCTAGATCTCGGGATGCCCTGAGAAGTCACCCGTCTACACATTATTTTATAAGTGTGTAGGAAAAGGAAGGGATGTGTCCAGAGACCGACTAGGACCTAATGGCAGACGAGACTGGACAGCAGGGCTCCCGACGTGTGTACCAGAGGCCATCTCTTTTCTCTCTGAGGCCTGGCTTTTAGCTGGGGAGAAGGTAGAGTCCAGGGGCAGTGAAAATGGCTGCTCGTTGAAAGGTTGGGGGTTCAAGGCCACTCAGAAGCACCTTAGAAAAAAAGTTTGATGGTCTCCTTCCCTGGAAACCCCAGTGGGATGCTGCTGGGGGTGCCTTGCATGGGGCTGGCTCAGTGGCAAATGGAGAGGGGAGGCAGGGGCTGTGAAGATGGAGGGCAGCCCCCTCGTGGTCTGTGGGCTGGCGGCAGGGGTCCTGACATCTATCTGTCCTTGGCAGTGGCGACTGAGTGCCCTGACCAGAACCCCGAGCTGCAGCCCTGGAACCCTGGTCATGATCAGGACCACCATGTGCACATAGGCCAGGACAAGGCGCTGCTGCTCACCGCTTCTGCCACGTTCTACTCGCTTCACATCACAGACGGAGGTAAGGCCATCTGCCTCTCTCCCCACGCATGCTCAGAGGGCATGCAGGTGGCCCTCGCTTCAGAAGGACAGAATGGATGTCGCAGGCTGTGCGTAAAAAGTGCCGGAGTGTCTGGCCCTTTGAGAGAGCCATCAGCACTGAGCACCTGGGGATGGTTTGTCAGAGATCTGATCGTAATGAGAGAAGTAATTCTAACAGGAAACCCTTGTTGGAGTTCGGAGCGGTCCTAGGAGTGTTAGCCCGGGGTGCTTGGTTCTGGAGTGCCCCATGTGCAGGACTGGCAGGAGACCAGACCGGTCTCCTTGCATGTGGTGAGGTAGAAGGAGGAAAACAGTATTTACTTGGTTGGGTAGCACTTTGGCTGCCTGCATGAGCTGGGGGCGTGGGGAGCTGCAGGAGTCTGCCCGGCTTTCATCTCACCCCTGACCCTGGTGTTTTGCCACCTCACCCTATTCCTGCCTCTTCAGGAAGGCTTGTCATTAAAGACCACGAGGAGCCCATTGTGCTGCGCACCCGGCACATCCTGATCGACCATGGAGGAGAACTGCATGCTGGCAGTGCCCACTGCCCTTACCAGGGCGACTTCCACATCGTTTTGTATGGAAGGTGGGTAGACAGCGTCCTTGGGTGAATGACTATATTCTTGGATCTTCCGGGAAGGAGGCTATTTGAAGTGGAGAGAGACGCAAGATGGCTCTAGGGTCAGACAGGAGTCATCATGAGGTCTTGCCAGATCACAATCACCGACCAGACAGACGCGGTGGTTTGGACAAGCTGGGGAAAGTTCATGAGGCGTTTTATTTATTGTGGCCTGGGCGCCGTGCTTACGCTGCAGAAGGTCCCTGCCAGTTTCTCCGCCGCCTTCCAGTCATGATGACGAAGGTTTGGTTTAATAGCTTATGATGGACAAGATAAAGAAGAGTTCCCTGCAGTGTTTATCCCTGGCCGTATTCCCTCTGCAAGCAATTGGGAATTCCAGGAAGTGGTAGCCAAGAATATACTCAGGTCAGCCAGGCCTGTCCAGGTGATGACTTTACATCTCATAGGGACCGAATGGAAGACCATGACAACAGACAGCAGAAGCGGCAGCTCGTCAACCCGTGATGAGTAGATGACGCTGTGGATGTGTTGGGGAGGAAGGGTTGCTTTGGGTCAGCTTAGTAAGAGCCGGTTGCTAACGCGGTCTTGGTTGATTTGCTTGATCCTCCCCAGGGTGGTTGGATCCATAGGTCCTGTGGGAGGCAGGGAGCAGGGATGGTGCCCCGTGGTTTCGGTGTCTGGTCCAGCGGTGACTCCTAGGAGTCGTTCTCTCTTGTAGGGCGGATGAGGGTGTGGAGCCAGACCCTTACTTTGGTCTGAAGTACATCGGGGTCGGCAGAGGGGGCACTCTGGAGTTGCACGGACAGAAAAAACTCTCCTGGACGTTCCTGAACAAGACCCTTCGTCCAGGGGGCATGGAGGAAGGAGGCTATTTTTTCGAAAGGAGCTGGGGTCATCGCGGAGTCATTGTCCATGTCATCGACCCCAAGTCAGGGACCGTCATCCACTCGGAGCGGTAAGTGTGCCTTCGCTTCAGCCCTCGCTCGTTCAAGCGGCACGGACGTGGTGAGCACACGCTCAGGTGACATGCTCTTCCTGGTGGAGGGGGCAAGAGGAGGGGTCCCCAAGGCCTTGGGCCAAATGAAGTTATGCTCACCAAAGACAAGCACATCCAATCACATACCCAAGCGCTCTCTCTCTCTCTCTCTCTCTCTCTCTCACACACACACACACACACACACACATGAGACAGATTTTGACTGTCAATCATGGTCAGACTAGTGGAAGGCACAGGGTGTTGGTAGAGCGTGGTAGGGGTAAGGCCACTTCACATAGGGAGGTCAGAGAAGCACCCTTTGCACTGAGAACAACAGAGTCAAAGCGAGGCCCGCGGGAGACCCTGCACAGTGTCTGCAGAGGGACAGAGGTGAGAAGGGCACAGGGCTCCCCAGAAAGGCAGACTTCCATGGGCGACGGAAGACCAATGTGCAGTCCTGCTGGGGACACAGATGAGGGAGGTGTGGGACCTGGCAGGGCAGGACAGCCAGCCTACAGCCATCGGGTCGATTCCGCTCGCCGCCGCCCTGTAGGACAGAGTAGA